TGAATATTATTACTATTATTATTATTAGTATCATTATTATACAGGATTTATAGAGCGCCAACAGTGTGCGCAGCGCTTTACAATATAAGGAAGACATTACAGTCACAATACAAGACAAGACAAGATGGTAAGGAGGGCCCCGCCCCTGAGGGCTTACATTCTAAAAGGGAGAATAAACTTGGTGCTTAAGCCGTAAATCATGGCAACTGTTAGAAAGGCAAAATATACTCAGATAAAGCAAAATAGTTATATGATAAATCTCTACAAGAATTCACAAAATTATTATTATTTTTTTTTTTTTGCAGCATTTTTTTTAATACTAGTATAATATTTACACGAACATATACCCCTCCTCTCCTATCCGTACAATGCAATTATTTGCAGATTCAGAAAATAAAAATTTTACATTTCATTTAATTGTAATTTAAATGCATTTTTATAACAATTTGGCATATTTTGTGACTTATCTATATACCTATATATTGAAGGTATTACAGACACAACGTGAAAATTATCTATCTATCTATCTGTCTATCTCAATCTATATGTGTTGATATAATAATTACAATTATTAATATTTATAAATGTATTTTTGCAAAAGTATTTATCTTATTTATTATTTATCTTATTTATTATTTATCTATCTATCTGCCTGCATTGCCTATCAGTCTATTTGTCCGTGTAATTATTTTACATATTTTAAATGAAATATAAAAATAATAATATCATTTTTTAGTAGGAACAATGGATGGCTATTTAAATAATTGTACAGTGGGAAATGAATTTCACCTCCTCTCCTTTGTCATGTCCGGACATTCTCAGCTTGTGATCTTCACAGTTATATTTTTGATGTATTCATTGACTGTATTGGGGAATGTTATTATCATTAGTCTCATATGTCTGATATCTCACCTTCACACCCCCATGTATTTTTTCCTGTGTAATCTCTCCGTCCAGGACATCATTTATGTCTCAGACACTCTTCCTAAATTTTTAGCCATCACACAATCCGGTGATGACACAATCACTTTCCCGGCATGCTTCACCCAGCTGTTTATTTTTGTATTTTGTATTGGAACAGAATTCTTTCTATTAACATCCATGGCTTATGACCGATATATCGCCATTTGCGTTCCTCTACATTACGCGGTTGTAATGAAAAAAATCGTTTGCATTCTGCTGGCTGCCGCTTCTTGGTTTGTGGGGTTCTTGAACGCTCTGACGCAGTCTCTCATATTGTCGCGCGCGGAATTCTGCCATTCCCACAATATTAATCATTTTTATTGCGATTTGAAGATCATGATAAAACTGGCCAGCAGTGACACCTCAATCATCCAAAAGTATCTCTTAGCCATTATTGTTGTTTTGGGGTTTTTACCTTTTGTCTTGATTTTGACTTCCTACATCTGCATCATCTCCACCATCGCAAAGATACGGAGCTCAGAAGGAAGAGTCAAAGCTTTCTCCTGCTGCTCCTCCCATGTCACCACTGTGATATTGTTTTATGGCGGAGTGCTTGGCACCTATACAGTCCTCGAGTCGGAACATTCTCAGGAACAGGAGAAATTGCTCGCCTTACTATACACAGCTCTGGTCCCATTTTTAAACCCCCTGGTCTACACCTTAAGAAACAAAGAGGTGTTGAGAGCAATGATGCACGTGAAGGAAAAATATTTGAGGTTCTGGATCTTAACTTGATGCAACTTACTGACGGAGAGAAAATGGAAAATTGTATACTTTCCTATCTGTAATTTTCCTTTCCTGACGCCAATACATGGCAGCATACAATGGGTATGGCTCCGCCCCCAGCCCAATCACAAGACCAGTTATACTATAAATTAAAGTCCGCCTCCCAAGGCCACCATTCTCGTAACAAGTACTCAATGCGAAAGCCATGGGAGGGTCCTGTATGCTGCCATGTACTGGCGTCAGGAAATAGGTGTTGAGAGCAATGATGCACGTGAAGGAAAAATATTTGAGGTTCTGGATCTTAACTTGATGCAACTTACTGACGGAGAGAAAATGGAAAATTGTATACTTTCCTATCTGTAATTTTCCTTTCCTGACGCCAATACATGGCAGCATACAATGGGTATGGCTCCGCCCCCAGCCCAATCACAAGACCAGTTATACTATAAATTAAAGTCCGCCTCCCAAGGCCACCATTCTCGTAACAAGTACTCAATGCGAAAGCCATGGGAGGGTCCTGTATGCTGCCATGTACTGGCGTCAGGAAAGGAAAATTACCGATAGGTAAGTATACAATTTTCCTGACGCCTACATGGCAGCATACAATGGGATCTAACGAGGACACAACCAGGGAGGGCAATTTTGAGATATTTATTTATTTGTTACGAGAATGGTGGCCTTGGGAGGCGGGCTTTCATTTATAGTATAACTGGTCCTGTGATTGGGCCGGGGGCGGAGCCATACCCATTGTATGCTGCCATGTAGGCGTCAGGAAATTGTCATTATTATTTTATTATTATTCAGGATTTATATCGCACCAACAGTTGGCCCAGTGGCTTAAAATAAAGACAGTTAAGGAGGGTCCTGCTTGTGCGAGCGTATGGAAGAGCGAGTGATGGAAAGGTAATAACTATGTGAAATAAATAGAATACTAATTTTTTATGTTTAGTTGATTTGTTTGGTATCCATTATGATAGTAGCTGAAGAAGAGACGACTGAACAGGGAGCTTCTAAGGATAAACATCACGAATGCCACTGCCAACAACAACATTTGGAAATGCTTACCTGGTAGATTATTATTATTATACCGGATTTATAGAGCGCCAACAGTTTGCGCAGCGCTTTACAATATAAGGAAGACATTACAATCACAATACAAATCAAAACAAGATGGTAAGGAGGGCCCTGCCCATGAGGGCTTACAATCTAAAAGGGAGGGACCAGTGATACATGAGGAGGTGGCTGTGTGGGGATGAATTGTTTGAGAATGTGATATTTCAGTGGTTAGGTTGAGGTGGGATAGGCTTCCCTGAAGAGATGAGTCTTAAGGGATCGCCTAAAAGCAGTCAGAGTGGGAGATAGACGGACAGGTTGGGGTAGAGAGTTCCATAGGATGGGAGAGACTCTAGTGAAGTCCTGGAGGCGAGCATGGGAGGAGTTGATGAGGGAGCTGGAGAGCAGGAGGTCTTGTGAAGAGCGGACGGTTAGGGTAATACTTTGAGACAAGGTTGGAGATATATCCGGGGGCGGAGTTGTGGATTGCTTTATAAGTGGTTGTTAATATTTTGAATGTTATCCTTTGGGCTATTGGAAGCCAGTGCAGGGATTGGCAGAGAGGGGCGGGGGGATGGAAGCCAGTGTAGGGATTGGGAGAGGGGGGTTGCAGACACTGAGCGGTTCGTTAGGTGAATGAGTCTAGCAGCTGCATTCATGATAGACTGAAGGGGGAGGAGCCTGTGTAGAGGTCGGCCAATGAGGAGGGAGTTGCAATAGTCAAGACAAGAGATAACAAGGGAGTGGATGAGTAGTTTTGCGGTCTCATTGGTGGGGAAGGGGCGTACTTTGGAGATGTTACGGAGGTGAAGGCGGCAGGATTTGGATAGTGATTGGACGTGGGGAAGAAAGGTGAGGTCCGAGTCAAGGATGACCCCTAGGACCTTGGAATGGAGTGGAGGGTTGGATAGTTGTGTTAACCATCTCAAGGGAAAAGTTGGGGGAAGGTGCACGGACACTGCAATACAGTACAATGATGGACAACAATTGCCATTTGGTAAAGGAAACATTTCCTGATGGTATAGAGTATGCGGTGTTCTAAATGGAGTAGGAATGTCCCTCAAGAGGTGTCCACCAGAAAAAATTAAAGAAGAGGAGAAAGCTGGAGAACCCTTACAGTAGTAGTATTGGAAAAAATATGTGCAATACTAAAAGTATTTTTTTAAATCTTTTAAAACCGTATACTGTAATAAAAAAAAAAACATTGCACACAATAAATATGTGACAGATTATTAATTCATATATTTAAAATAAGTGTAGCAAAATAATTGCTGATCAGTAACTCCTCAGTGTGGGACCATATAACCAGTTGGATTGTGCTGGAATAGATAGATATACACATTAATGAGGAAAAATAACACAAATAACATGATGATTTATAAGTTACTTTATTGAACTGAAACATGAAACAATTATAAGGAAGAAATAAGGGCATACTTAGAAAATATTTATTATTCGCAGAGAATTTTTCTAAAAGTCATTCTGAGGGATCACCAGCAGGAGGAAGGAGGTCCTGATTCCCCTATATAGATCTTTATTATCACTAGAGGGATCCCCAGCAGGGGGAAAGAGGTCCTGATTCCTCTATATAGATCCCCAGCAGGAGGAAGGAGGTCCTGATCCCTCTATATAGATCTTTATTATCGCTAGAGGGATCCCCAGCAGAAGGAAGGAGGTCCTGATTCCTCTATATAGATCTTTATTATCACTAGAGGGATCCCCAGCAAGAGGAAGGAGGTCCTGATTCCTCTATATAGATCTTTATTATCACTAGAGGGATAAAAAATGGGCAGACTTGATGAACCATTGGGGTCTTTTTCTGTCATCACTCTTCCATGGTTCTATATTTATACATTTATTGATAAAGCTCTGAATATGATATTCACTAAACCTTCGCTGGTGGTGTATCATTCAATTTATATTAAAATCCATTCACCAGGAATGTTCACCTGCAGTGAATATTTGATGAAACTCAGATTCACTGCTGTAGAAATATGCCTCATAGTTTGCAATAGTTACTATCTATTTAAATTGATACTTATTTTTGCTTAAAAAATAAAAAATAAAATAAGTATAAATAACATATTCATTTGGGATATTTTTCTTCAGTATATTGTTTTTAGCTAAAAAATCCTTGCAGGGTTTTCCCTCGGAGGTGCCCACAAATATATATATATTTACTGGAGCTGATTGAATGTTATTTCAGTCAGACTGGGAAGTGTTGCAAAATATTGTCAGTGTTATTGGAAGAATCTCACATAGACAATAAGGAGGAGAGACTGCTGGACTGGTGAGAATACTTACTTATTTTTTTCAAATTTTTTCATCCTTTTAATAATTTATTTCTCATTTATACACAAAATAAATTCTGTTTCTTTTACTTTGTTTCACACGGCAAAGACTACTATTGGAAGAGCTGAGGAGAAAACATTGTGGTTCAGTTACTACAGAAGTTGAGAATCTTTACACAACAAATTGTGTTGATTTTCAATTCAACAACATGAAAAGCCAAAATCCTTGTTTACTTATTTCATCTGAGCAATTAAATATTTATGCAATGTATTGTGTGACAATTCTCAACTCCTTTAGTAAACCAGCTTGATTTCATTCACCTGGCCCTATTATTGAAAATTATGGTAAACTTTAAAAAGGCCAAATGTATTTGGCAAAAGCAAATCTGTTACATGAAACAATCTGATTTGTGGATTCAATAAACACTTAGAAAATTGCAATTATGATCATATACACCGATCAGCCATAACATTCTGAGCACCGCCTAATATTGAGTAGTTCCCCCTTCTCCTGACCCGTCCAGGCATAGACCCCACTAGACCTTTGATGGTGTGCTGTGGTATCTGGATGACACCCCTAATATTGAGTAGGTCCCCCTTCTCCTGACCCCTCCAGACATGGACTCCACCTGACCTCTGAAGGTGTGCTGTGGTATCTGGCACCAAGCCGTCAGTAGCAGATCCTTGAAGTCCTGTAAGTTGTGAGGTGATCGGCCTCCATGGATTGGACTTGTTCTTCCAGCACATCCCACAGATGATCGATTGGGTTGAGATCTGGAAAATTTGGAGGCCAAGTCATCACCTCAGACTCGTTGTTGTGTTCCTCAAACCATCCCTTAATCATTGTTGCAGTGTGGCCGGGCTCATTATTCTGCTGGGAGAGGACACTGCCATCAGGAAATACTGTTTACATGAAGAGGTGTACTTGGTCAGTAACAATGTTTAGGTCGGTGGTACATGTCAAAGTAACATCCACATGAATGGCCGGACCCAAGGTTTCCCAGCAGACACATTGTCAACATTGTCCAAAAGCATCACACTGACCCTCCACCCCCCCCGGCTTGTCTTCTTCCCATAGTGCATACTGGTGCCATCTCTTCCTCAGGTAAGTGACTCACACACCTGACCATCCACATGATGTAAAATAAAACATGATTTAACTCTTTCATCACTTTGATCTCCAGTATCTCTTCTACTGGATCAGACTACACTGGCCAGCCTTCCCTCCTCCTCCAGTGTATATAATAATCCGGCCACTCGGTGTATATAATAATCCGGCCACTCAGTGTATATAATAATCCGGCCACTCGGTGTATATAATAATCCGGCCACTCAGTGTATATAATAATCCGGCCACTCAGTGTATATAATAATCCGGCCACTCAGTGTATATAATAATCCGGCCACTCAGTGTATATGATATACCTATATACAATATACATTAAAAAGATTAGAGAACGTGTCTTTCACATTTTGATTTTATTTTTTATGGCAGGAACAATGAATTTACATGTAAACAATTGTACATCAGGAAAATCATTTTATCTCCTCTCCTTTGTCGTGTCCGGACATTCTCAGCTTATGATATTCACAGTTATATTTTTGATGTATTCATTGACTGTGTTGGGGAATGTGATTATCATTAGTCTCATTTGTCTGATATCT